CATTGTCCCGGATAAACTAAAAATTGCTCGAGTCACCCCTATTTTTAAATCTGGAGATGATTTTGATACTAATAATTATAGACCTATATCAGTTTTACCATGTTTTTCCAAATTACTAGAACGCGACATGTATAATAGACTTTACAATTATTTGACGGAAAACAATTTTTTATACGGTAAACAATTTGGATTTAAAAAAAACCACTCAACCGACCATGCTATAATTGAGCTAGTTAATCAAATATATAATGCTTTTAGTAATGATTGCTTTAAGCTAGGAGTTTTTATTGATCTTTCTAAAGCTTTTGATACCGTAAATCACGACATTCTTCTAAAAAAACTCGAAGTGTATGGAGTAAAAAATAATAACTTACTTTGGTTTAAAGATTATTTATCAAACCGAAAGCAATATATTCAGCATGAAACAACAAAAACAACAAATAGCGCTATAACTTGCGGGGTTCCCCAAGGCTCGATCTTGGGACCATTATTATTTTTACTCTATATAAATGATTTATATTCAACATCAAACTTATTAAATTTAATCTTGTTTGCGGATGACTCCAATTGTTGTTTTATTCGCATAGAGACATTAGAACACTTTTTAACATAGTTAACAAAGAATTACATAAAATAAATGAGTGGTTTAGGTGTAACAAACTTTCTTTGAATGTCAAAAAAACCAAGTTCATCCTATTTCATAAACCAAATAAAAACGAAAATATTCCTCTTAAACTACCTGATCTTAAAATAAATAATACTAATATAAAAAGAGAAAATTTTATAGACTTTCTAGGTGTGGTCTTGGATGAAAATTTGTCGTGGAAGCTCCATATAAACACTTTAGAGAGAAAGCTCTCAAGAAATATTTTATTAATGTATAAAGCAAAACCTTTCCAAAATATCATTTCCTTAAGAAGTTTATACTTTTCAGTAATACATAGTCATCTAAGCTATGGTAACATGGCCTGGGCAAGCACAAACTGTACTAAGCTTAAAAAACTCTACAGTAAACAAAAACATGCCTGAATTGTCTTCGGAATAAGTAAAAAAGCGTCTGGTGAACCTCTCTTATGCAAACTTGGAGCATTGAATATATACAAAATTAACATACATCATGTTTTACAGTTTATGTACAAAATAAAAAATGGACTATCTCCGCCGATATTTCAACCCTATTTTAGCGAAATAAGTCATAAATACCCTACTAGATTCTCATATAACAACTTTGTCATCCCAAAATTTACATTAAAGTTAAATTCATACTCAATCCAACACCGCGGACCTTATTAGTGGAAAATTTTTCCCCAGATTGTTTCTATCAAAAGAAATACACTTGAACAGTTCAAATCTGAATCAAAGCGTTTTTTATTATCTACGGACTTTAGTATAAAATAAACTAGCACAATTTATTTCTTTTATTTGTTTTAACTTTTACTTGTTCTAAATTTATTTTACTAAACGAATTTATATATAAACAGTTATATCAATTGTAAAACGTAGTTTTTCACATTTTTACATATTTTATCACAAACAATTTATCACGATTTTATATATTTTGTTGTAAAAAAACGACCTGTAATGAAGTCACTATGGGGCTCGGTGATAAGACAAACTGATGTCTTCTTCTTGCTCCAGCCATTTGTTTTATTATTTATGTTATTTTATAAATTGTAACTTTCTACGGCAAAAAATTGAAAAATAAAAAAAAAAAAAAAAAAAGGAAATGCTTACTTACATATTAAAAAAAACCTGAAGCAAAAAAAATTATAAGATCTAAAGCTCTTGTTTGGACATAATTATGTCCATAACAATACCCTGATAAAATCATGCTTATTTCAAATAAAAGAGTTCGAATAATTTGTAAATCGCCTTAACTACGCCGAAGTACTAAAAAGTACGTTTTTGTAAACGTCCGCGTTCGTTGAATGAGCAAATTTAAATAGACCTCCTCACAGTTCCGATAATTTAGTGCGCGCAAACATTTAACAGTACGTCATTGTTCCTTGCGCATGAAAAAAAGTAAATACACAAATATATTATGAAAGCATTCTTGAAAGAAACAGTTGTTTGCATAAGATTTCTTTACTTTTATTCATGATAAAAGTATCAATTTTGAATTATTTAACTTTATTTTAACTATTTTAAGGCTAAATTTATATTATTTATATACTTATATTTTTTATATGTTTGTTTTATATGATATATATGAAAGAAATAAAAGCTCTTAAAGAATACTCTTTATCTTTCGCATTTCACACATTTCGAGTGTGAAATGTGCATTGATAGTTGTGTTTGTGTGTGTTTGAGTGTATATATATAATATATATGTTTATAAAGGGGTATATATATTTATATATATATATATATATATATTATATATATATAAATATAATATATACACATATACATGTGTGTATATACATATATATGTGTGTGAGTGTATATATATATATATATATATATATATATATATATATATATATATATATATATATATATATATATATATATATATATATATATATATATATATGAAGAGTGTATTTTCAAAATGTTGTATATCCATTTTTGTGGTATTGAGATAATTGACTTTTTTCGCCACACCAACATGTCTCGTATATTTGGAAAAATTATTGTTTCTTAATGTATATATACATAAAGTATATTATATAATGTTAATAAATAAAATATTATTAAATAAAATTTTTTTTTTTTTGTCAATAAGTTTGCATTTATTTTCAAAATACTGTATATCCAATTGAAGCTTGTTAGCAAAATGCGGTATATCGATTTTATAAAGATGTTATGGAAAGTTTTTAAACTTTAAAAGACCTGAATAAGTTTTAATGATTAATTTTAGTTAACATATTGAACAAATATGTGTATTTAATTTTTGGTCATTATATTTTATTGATAATGTGAATGTAAACAATGTTTTATTAAAGTAATGTAAACTATTACATTTCTCAATTCGCAATTGTAAATTTATATTTGTTTCGGAGAGTTAAATATGGACAATAAACAATAATATTTTTTTAGTGTTGTGTAGTTGTAACAATGATGATCACTATTTTTAAGTCTCCGTAAAAGTCATCGTTATATTTTTGAACGAAATAAAATTTTAAAAATAAAATACTGCAATAGCCTCATTTTATTTGCAACAAAGCAATTGTCGGTTTAACAAAAAATAAAAAGGAAGTATTATTATTGAATGCTTTCCATTAAAAAACAGGTAACAAATATATTTAAACTTATTAATTTAAGTTGCCTTTTTAATATATTTTCTATCATTATTCCATTATTCGTTCAGTTAAACAAACAAAGCATGGTAGTTTAAACGAACACTAGAATTAAGAAATGCTTTTCTTTTCTTTTGTTTCATACATCATATCTTTTTTTCTATGTGAAATAGGATATTAGGTAACGCATTAATCTTGTCCATCGCAATCCGCCATTTCTTTAACGCAACTTTAAAATATTTGCGCTTGCGCAGAAGTAATATACATTTGCCACGGATTGGTCAAAATTAATTACCGCATTTTGAAAATAAATAAAAAATTTTATACCGCGTTTTGAAAATAAATGTTTTTTAGAAGTAAAAAAATATTGGTTTATACTTCGTTTAGCATATATTCGGACACAATGTCTGCTAGGTCCTTATAAACTAAAAATAAACCACACAATTTCTAAAAAATTTTTAAAATGGCGTTTACCGCGTTTTGAAAATAAACTCTTCATATATATATATATATATATATATATATATATATATATATATATATATATATATATATATATATATATATATATATATATATATATATATATATATAATATATATATATATATATATATATATATATATATATATATATATATATATATATATATATATATATATATATATATATTTGTAAATTACTATTTAACAATCTTCTTTCCCGAAAGCTCATTTTTATTAATCAATATTAAATACTTTTACACTCAACGTACAAATTTGTTTTTTCCTTGATCACAAATATTATATAACAAAAACATATAAACAGTATAGGTTTTAAAACTGAAAATGGGTAAAATAAACTTATATTAAACTAAATCAATGTCTTTTTTTTAAAAAAAAAATAAAACAAATCTCATGTAAACAACTGTTTCTTTCAAGGTTACTTTAACAACAGTTTCTTTCAAGGTTATCTTTAAGGTGAGTTTCCACTCATCCGTTTTTCTACGGGAAAGGGAAAGGGAACGGAAAAATAATCACGTGAGCATGCGCAGTTTTCTTTCGGACAAATAAAAACTCTTAATACGCATGCTCACGTGATTATTTTTTCCGTTCCCGTTGAAAAACGGATGAGTGGAAACTCGCCTTTATATGAGTATTTACTTGTTTTCATGCAATTCTGCGCATAAAGTAATATTAAATATGCGCGCGCAAGAAAGTATCGGAATTGTGAAGACGTCTATTGAATTTTAAAATTCACTTTCTCATTCCACTTTTCGAAACTCATTTTTTTTTTCAAAATATTTCAATTGAAAAACTTTTTTTTCCAAAAAATTTAATTTGAATTACCGATGTTCCTTTTTTTCGAAATTTAATTTAGCTTTGTGAAACTTTTTTTTTCGAAAATAATTTAGCAAATCGAAATGGTTTTTTTTTCGAAACAAATTTAACTTTTTGAAATTCAATTTAAATTTTGAAAATAGTTTTGTATATCGAAATTATTTTTTTAATTTTGATTAAATTTATATCGAAATTACTTCTTTTTTTTTTCAAAATTAATATGAACTTTCAAAAATAAATTTATTTTTTTTGAAATTAAATTAACTATTTTGAAAGTTTTCGAAAGTTTTTACAAAATCAAACAAAAAAAATTTTTTATCGATAACATTTTATTCGAAAATTTTCGAAAATTGGATTTTCGAAAATGAACTCTACAAACAAGTAAATAAATATAAAGTTAAAGTTAATGAAATAAATAAGCTCAGTCAAAGTTACTCACTCGGACAGTTCAAATTTTTCTGCAGCATAACTTTTTTAAGTGATGACGAAAGTTTAAAAACGTTGATTAAAGAATTGTAATTTCGAACGCAATCGTCTTGAGCGTAACTTTTGTTGATTGTCATTTTTTCAACATTCTTTTCAATTGAATTCCATAAATGTTGTGAATACGCAGTTGACGCTTTAACTTCGATTAAGTTAAAATAAAAAATAAAGAATCCAAAATATACAGATGCCATTTTTAGTCTTTCCATTTGAGACTTTTTTTAAATACAAATTTGAAATTAAATACTTGTATACAAGATAGTTAAAATTATGCAAAAAAAAAATCTCCCTTGAAACAACTATAAACTTTTAACAATTTAACTGGAAAAGATGTTCACATCAACTACATAAATGCCGTTCTATGACAAGTTTTTATTAACTTTAGATTTTTCACTATAAAAAATCACACTCAAAATATTAAAGTAAATATTAAAATCTAGAAACAATTGTTTAAAGGATGTATTTTACCTTGGTGAACCTGTGTGAATGTTTTTTCGACCTTATGAAAACATTTTTTATAGTCATTGTAGCTATTAAATAAATGGTGTATAGTATTAACTTGCTATAAGCTCGATAACATTTTAAAAAAATGCCGACAAAAAAAAAAAAAAAAAGTCCTCGTTTTTTAAAATTTGCTGACTGACTGGTCGACATTTGCCGACTAACTGTCTAAATTTGCCGACTGACTTGTCTAAAAGGGTAAAACTTGCCGACTAAATGAATAAAAAATTTATTGATGCGGGGGTGTCAAACTTCGCACCGGTTTTGTTAATATAATAATATCAAACATTACCGGCAAATGTGTTTATTACTTATTCAAAGTCCAGTTAGTGAATAGAAAAAAAAAAGTTTAACAAGCGTTTACTTTGTCAATTCCTAAACTAAAAAAGACTTTTATTGCTCTCAATTACGGGCAACAGCCCTAGGAATTGGATGGTGAAATCGGAATTCCTTTAAATGCACCCATCTTGATAAATACCATTAAATCCGGCCCTCTACGCAATAAGAAAATAACCAATTTTATACACTCTAGGTAATAAATAAAACGTGAAATTTTAACCTTTTAATTACCCTGATAATTAACATAACGGCCGTTATTTATCTTTTGGTAAACAATTTTCACCCCATACAAAATAATAATATAACATAAGTTCAGTATGAATAACATAAACGTACTTTTAAAATTGTCAACAATGTTTGTTATATTTTTTTTTTTACAGGCAATGCCTGAATGGTACAAGATTTTTTGAATTTACAATTAACATCGTATTGTTGAACTTATTACTTAAAAACATAGTCACAAAACTTTGATTGTCTGGAAACAAAACAAAAAAAAAACTATTGCTTCAATTTCTTGATTGTCAATAAGGTTGGTATGGTTGGTATTCTTATCCTGCTCACAATATATCTTCAGAATGTTATTAGTCATGTGCGTATCCTTAGCGATGTGATGCTTAAAGATAAATAAGGCTGCTGATTGCGTTACTATTATTTCACAATGTTTTTTCTCGAATAAATAAAATAAAACAAATAAAATCTTTAAGCAAAAAGTAAATATTTTGCTTTTTTTTTTTAATTACTGCACTCTGCGCCGGATCTGCCACTGACAGCACTTCTTTTTTTTTTTTTTTACCTTACTTATAAATCAAGCTTCTAAGATAGATATATCCAAGTTTCCTTTAGCTAATCCGTTGTAGTATGAGTTTTTTACTCTCCGGTAAAAAACTTTTTACTCCCAATATGAGATTTTTACTCCCATTAAATATTTTGTTACAAAATAAATACGAGCAAGCACTAAAAGCAGCGGATACAAAAACAGTTTCATATAAAAATCGAACCTTAAAAATACGTTAACGTAATATTATATAGTTCAACCCCTCATTTAACAAAAACGTCTTTACAAATGCTAAAACATTTCTAAAATTACTAAACACAAACTTTCAAAAAACCACAAAATCTTAAACAGAAACAAAAATAAGCTACAGTTATACTGATAATGTTAAGAAAATTTTTAAAAACCAAAAAAAAATAAGTTTTCCAAAAATTAAAAATAATCAAACAAAATGCAATTGTTGAATTAAAGCAGAAGGCCCCATTAATGGAAAGTGTAGATCAACAAGTGTTATTTATAAATGCACCATTGCAGCAAAAAACCCATCCCACCAAAGTTTATAGTGGATAAACAGAGAATGAATAGAAAATCAGATATAATACTCATAAGTTATCAATAACGTTAAATACAAACTCCACCACCATCTGAATATATTGCGATTCGAAGACTTTTAGAAAAAAATAACGAAACCGCTATTTTCACACGGTCTATCTTGAAATTTGTACCCTATCTCTTTCACTCAAATATTTTCAAAAGATGCCCACTCTGCATATATAAAAAATTTACAACTATATCACACTTAAAAACTGAAGATTTTCTAAATAAATACTTTATTCTTTTATACAATTAATACTTTATTTTATCTAATGCATCTCAAAGCTAATTTAAAACCATTAACATACATAGTTCATATAATGTTTCCTAATTAAATTAATATCTCTATATTAATTTAATTATGAAACAAATACATTGCGCTGTAAAAAACAGCACAATGGTAAAAAACAGCGCAGTGCGACTAAACACAGTTTACACAAGCATATTGTTCCAAAGTATGTAAAACCATCGCAAAGCGTTATTGTTTTTACGATCTAAACCCAATGTTGATCCAATGTAAATAACCCAACATTGATTTAGTGTTTATGGATTAACGTTGATACAAAGTATACATACACAGTATATATGCGAGTGCAAAATTATAAAAATTAAATAAAATCTTTTGTGAATATCAAACCACAACCAAAACAAATGTTAATCATATGTGTAAAATTATTTGCTAATTATTATATTTACAGACAATAATTATGTTTCATAAAAGTGAAATTATTTATATATATATATATATATATATATATATATATATATATATATATATATATATTTTGGTTCTTTTATTACATGTAAAATAAGCATTTCGTTACAATATTTCAAATACAAATATATAATAATAAATTTATATATAAACAAAATGGTCGTTATTAGAAAATAAAAGAAATATATATATATATATATATATATATATATATATATATATATATATATATATATATATATATATATATATATATATATATATATATATATATATATATATATATATATGTATAGACACACCAACACACATATATATATATATATATATATATATATATATATATATATATATATATATATATATATATATATATATATATATATATATATATATATATATATATATATATATATACAGGGGCGGATCTAGCATTTTAAATGGGTGATGCGAAATATTTTTATTGACGTCCCCCCCCCCCCCCCGCAACTTCTTTAGGGTTTAAGTATAGTCAATACAAAAAGTGGAGAAACATTAAAAGGCGTAGCGAGGGTGGGGCGGACACGCCCCAGGCAGCTTTTTTTACGAGTGGCGTCGCTGTTTATATCATTGAATAGTAACTAAATATTGTATTTCTTTTGCAGTATCCATTTTTAGCAGAAATTTTTACAAATGTTGCCTTGGCTATTTTGTTCATAAATTAGACATGTAATTTTAAGCCTAATTTACTTAACAAAGTGCACCAACGAGAAGGTAAGCCATAGGACTTAGCACTTCATCTGTATACTGTCATTTTGCCCAAGGTTAGCCCTCTATTTATGGATTCTTTCCTTTTCTTGAGAGGCACGTCATGTAAAGTAATATTAGGTTATTTATTAAAGTTAAGTAATATTAGGTTAAGTAACTAGAAATATAATAATAAAGGTTAGTCCTCCATTTCTGGATTTTATCTTTATTTTATTTTATATTATTAATCTTATATTATTAATCTTGCCTAAGGTTAGCCCTCCATATCTGGATTCTTTTTTTTTTTAATTTTAAAATGTTTTTTGTTATAATAATTTTTGTTATATTTTTTTATTGAAGCTCTATATTTTAAATACACACACACACACACACACACACACACACACACACACACACACACACACACACACACACACACACACACACACACACACACACACACACACACACAATATTAGTAAAAATCAAATTAGAAAAAAGTAAAATAAAAGTTAGTACACTACTAAATAAAAGCTAAATCTAAACGTCTTACACCTGACTTCAACATCTGGAAAAATTTCTTGATTTATGGACATTAATGCTAAAGAGTTAATGCGAGACTCAATTATATTTCTTCTGGAGTATGTTTTTAGCCTACGTATAACTGAAATACTTTTTTCACATTCACAAGTTGTTATTGGAATTGTTCCTAAAATTATAAATGCTGTCCTTATATTTGGAAAACCTCTCATGTCAATGGACTTTAAAGTACCAGCAACAGTTGAAGGAATACTTGACTGGTTTTTCCAAAATAATTCCCATAAATCTAACTCAGCATGTATTGAAGTAAAATGAGGCATATCAGATGAATAGAAATTTAAAAATTTATAAAAAATCAGATTTCCATGGTTTTTTAACTTGTATTCTGGATAGTACAGTTGAAGGAACTGCTGCTAGACCTTTATAACCAAACATATCATTTTCTGGAAACCTATTATCAAGCTCATTAATAAGATTTTCAACTAATGGAGAAGTAATGCTATGTTTAAAATAGTCACAAACTGTATTTGTTGGATAATTATCCCGGTAAACCTGGACATTACACAATCTAGGTCTCACTTCTTGTATATCAAGAGTTTTGGCTAAACTAAGAGCGATAGCGTACCATTCAGTGTGATATATATCAATTTTATTTTTAATTTCTAATAACAGATTTTTTAGATTAGTTATTTCAAAACACTGCTGGGATATGTCAAAAGATTTAGTTCGAAGAGTTACAGTAATTGCATAAAAAAAATCCATTAATTGTTTTGTAATAACTAAACTTACAATAAAAGAGAAATCTGTTAATAATCTTAAAAAAGTAGAGGATTTGGAAGCAGTTTCACTGTTATATTCCTTTGACTCATTTAATCCCATCTCCTCTAAAGCATGAATAATAAGTATAAAATTATCAAAAAAAACATCAACACCTCTCAGTTGTTGAACCCATCTTGTTCAACAAGTATCTATTATTTTTTCTTGATTTGGACTTGTATCTATTATTTTTTCTTGATTTACTACGTTTAGGAGATAAGTTAAAAAAATAAGAAATTTCTTTTACTTGGCCAAGAAGATTTTTTACTTTTTGAACTTGGCATGCAGCTGCTACTACTAAACTAAATCTATGGCTTGCACAATGAACAAATATAGCTTTATGATTAA